ATGCCCATCTCCCTACAGCCTCGCCAGCACCGTACACTATCAAACGTTTGGATTTTTGCCAATCTAAGTGAAAAATAATTTCTTAAATTTGCATTTTTCTTATTATGAGTGAGGTTGTACATTAGGAGTCATTTGAATTTCTCTTTCTGTGAACTATCTGTTTTTATCCATTCACCATTTCCACTGGATCTTTATCAAACTGTTTTATTTATTTACTTATTTATGAATTTATTTTTGGTGGCTGGCTGGTATGGAGATTGAATCTTGGATCTTGGTGTTATCAGCACCACGTTCTAACCAACTGAGCTAACTGGCCAGCCCCTATTGAACTATTTCACAGAAGTCCTTTATCTGTGATGGAAAGTAGCCCTTTATTACTGCTCTGAGTTTTTCCAGTTCTTTATTTTTTTCATCTTTCAACTTTTTTTTTGCCATGCAGGAAAAAAAATATTTTTGTGAGGTCAAATATATTAATCTTTGTTTTATGGCTTCTGCTTCTTGTGTCATAGTTACAGATGCTGTCCCCACAGAAGTTGAAAAAGAATTTGCCCATGCTTTGCTCTAGAATTTTTATGGTTTTACTTTTTTACATTTAGATGTTTGACCCATGAGGATTTCTCCTGGTATGCAGTATGAGCTGTGAATCAACTTTGTTTTTATGTTTTTCCAGAAGGCTAGCCAGTTGTTCCAGCATTATTACAGTCTGTCCTTCCCTACTGAGATGCCACAATTTAACACATACTAAATTCCCGTATGTATTTATGCCCACATAAATATTTGGACTTTCTCACTTGTGCCATTGGTCCATTTGTATCTGCATGTAGCAGAAACTCAATTTTGTGATCATCAAGTGTTTAAAATGTGTTTTAATTTTTGGTTGGGACATTGACTCCTCACTCCTCTTTTTTAGAGTTTTCCTGGCTTTTCTAGTTAGCTTATGTCTTCATCGCAATTTTAAAATCATCTTGTCCTATTAAAACACATGCACACACACACAAAAAACCCCGTTGGTGTATTTTATTGGGATCACATTAAAGGTATGAATTATCTGAGGGAGAACTGATACCTCCATGTTGCTGACTCTTCCTGTCCATGAACATGGCGTGCATGTCTATTTGTCCACAGCTACTTTCACAGAAAGGCCTTTCTTCAGCTCCCCGGACAGAATTAATATCTCCCTGCTCTGAGCCCCCATTACACCATTACACACTGACCGTACACATCAAGGTCATGCTGCAGGTGCTGGCTGATCTCTGTCTCCCACACTGCCTTGGGAGAGACGTTCCTATTCCTTTCTGTCCTCATGGCCTGGCATACAGCCCAGGCTCAGTAAATGTTCGCTGAATGACTAAGGAAAGGAAGAAAAAGCCCCAAGCCTTGTTGATCATTCATTCACCCCTAGCCTGATGTCTGCAGTCCCTGCTCCTCATGGCCTCTTCTATTTATGCCACTCTCCTCTACCCCCACAGCTCTGGAATGCCCCACGCACAGCATCTACACCAACTGCCTTCCCTCATGCTCACCTTCCTGCTGGGACCTCAATGGACAGTGCACGGGTGCCAGAGTCCCCTCCACCTGCACTGAGGGCTGCATTTGTCAGCCCGGCTATGTGCTGAAAGAGGACAAGTGTGTGCCCAGAAGTCAATGCAGCTGTAAGGATGACCAGGGCAGCTTGATCCCTGTGAGTGGGCACAGGAAGTGGGATTGGGGGCAACACACCTTGAGGATGGCACCTTCTCCTTTCCTCAGCCTCTCTCAGCCCATGACACCCGTGTCTCTATGGCCAACCCTGGGCTGTGAAGGCTGGTGTGAGTGGCACGGTTATCTCCAGCCAGGCCTGGGCTGGGGGTGCTTGGCTTGGATGTGGGATCTGAGGAATCCAAACACTAGGGCATGGCATGGTGTAGTGGAAAGAGCAGGGCCTTAGTGCAGGCTGACATGGGTTTGAATCCTGATTGTACATACCACTGACCAGTTGGGTGATCTCTGTTACCTCTGTTTCCTCACCTAAAATGGGTCCAGTAGTACTTCCCCAACAGCATGCATGAGACAGCAAGCACAAGGCCTTTGGCGGGGGTGGTACAGGGTCATGAGATCCAAATTGCTCTGAAACTTAAGCCATTCAGACAGTGGGCTCAGGCTGGAGGGGTGAGAGGAGGGGGAACCAGCCCTTCCATCCTCACTCACTTCCTCTCCCTGTGGCATCTACAGGCCGGCAAGACCTGGATCTCCAGTGGTTGTACCCAGAGCTGCACCTGTGTAGGAGGCACCATTCAGTGCCAGGCCTTCCGCTGCCCCTCTGGGTCCCATTGCCAGCTCAGCAGTAACGGCAACAGCAACTGTGCACCAAACCGTAAGGGAGCCACTGGGGAAGGTGGACAGTGGGGTGCTCCGGAACACGCCAAGGAGGGGCTTAGCCTGGAGAAGCGGTGATGAGAGAAGGGCCAAGTGCAGGAGGCATGGGGTGGGCAGCTGCAGTCTCAGGAGGCCTGGCTTCTAATTCTGGCTCTCACCAGCTCTGTGGCCCTGTGTGAGTTACTAATCCTCTCCGGGACCCCTTACCTTAGGAGCAAAAAGGGGACTGGATGGGGAAATCCTCTAAGGGTTTTAATCAGGAGAGGGAGAAAGTTGAAGTTCAAGTATCCAGGAAGCCTGGGCTTAAGAGGGAGGGGAGACATTAGAGTCGAGGAGGGATTCTGGGGACTGTTCTATCTGGGCAGAGTCCCTTCTCAATATTTCCCCTTCTTGGCAGATTTGGTACCTTGCTTGGTCTTTGGGGACCCCCATTACCGCACATTTGACGGCCTCAGCTACCGATTCCAGGGCCGCATGACCTACATTCTGATAAAGACCGTGGACGAGCTCCCCAGTGGGTTGGAACGCCTGCTCGTGGAGGGACGCAACAAGCTAAATCCGCCTGTGAGCCCAGTCTTCTTGCACGAAGTGATTACCACCGTCTATGGCTATAAAGTGCAGCTCCAGGCTGGTCTGGGGCTTGTGGTAAGAGCCAGGCCAGGGCCTGGTGGGTCTGGTGAGGGAGGCGGGGCCGTGTGACACCACTTGGAGTTGGTGAAGCCTGGGCTTGCCATTCCCTGGGATGTTCCTGACAGGGGCAGGTGAACTATAGATGTCAGAGTTAGTGCCAAGCTCACTTTGTGGGAGAGGCAGAGGAGGGCAGTGGGATTGAGCAAAAAGATGGCAAAGGGCTGGCCGGCTAGCTCAGTTGGTTAGAATGCAGTGTTATAGCACCAAGGTCAAGGATTCAGAACCCAGTACAGGCCAGCCACAAAAAAAAAAAAAAAAAAGCCTGCGAGAGACAAGGGGAAGCAAAGAGGAGGACAGAGCGTGTGGTGCAAAGGTTGAGCCTGAACTGAAGAAGGACCAGGGCATCCACTTTGCCAATTTTTTGCAAGGAAGAGGTCTGGGATGCAAAAGGAGTAGGCCTGAGGGAGGCCTCTGCCACATGGGATAGCGAACTCCACTGGGGCGTCTTGTTCCACTGAATGGCTGCACAGACTGGCACGGAGATGTGTGGGCGAAGGCAGGCACAGGAAAAAGCTGCAGAGGGTCACGTTGATTCGGCACGCCCTGCAGCCCCTGTCTGCCTTCTCCAGGTCAACAACCAGAGGATGGCCATCCCCTATAGGCCCAACGAGCACCTGCAGGTGACCCTGCAGAGCCAGCGGCTGTTCTTGGTCACTGATTTTGAGCTGGCCATCAGCTTTGATGGAAGGAGCAGTGCAGGTACCTGAGAGAAGGGGAAGAGTGGAAGGGACATTTTGGGGATGGGGGAGGGAAGACCCCACCAGAGATGGGCATATCATGGCAAGAGGCCCCCTGCCTGGGATGGGGCACCCAGCTCTGGAGAGGAATGCAATCCCGGAGGAAGAGGAGTGGGGAGAGGTGGTGAGCAAAGAGTGGGGAGTCTCACTTCAGGACACCCCCTTCCTCCTGTAGTGATCTCCCTGCCCAGCACGTACCAGGGCCTTGTGCACGGCCTGTGCGGGAACTACGACAACAACAGCAGGAACGACTTCATGCTGCCCAACGGCCTCCTGACCCGGAATCCCAACACCTTTGGCAACAGTTGGGAGTCAAAGACCGAAGACGCCCTCATCCGCTCTGTCAGGTGAGAGGACTGTGGCTTGGGGGAGGTGAGCCATGGTGTCTGTCCTCGGCAGAGGAGGAACACAGCGGGGGGTGCAGAGAGACAGCCCCAGTGTTCTTATTTCCTCTCATACTGACTGCGACGGGGCACCTGCTCCATGGACATCCCAGCCATGCCCACGTGCTACCCTCAGCCTCCCTTCCCAGCTGCCATCCTTCCTCCTTAACAAGGTCCCACGTGGCCCCTCGGCTGTCTCTGCTCCAGGGCTGTAAATGTACAAGAGCAGGAAGAAGGACGAGGAGGAGAGTCGGGCTTCCACGTGTCAGAATGCAGCCCGGAGCAGCTGGCGCTCATCAACAGCACACAGGCCTGCAGGGTGCTGCTGGACCCTGAGGGCCCGTTTGCTGCTTGTCACCAGGCTGTGGCCCCAGCACCCTTTCAGGAGTGAGTCATGGGCTCAGGTGCCTGCTCTGGCCGGGCTCTGTTGGATTCACTTCTTTCTCCTTATGGCCTCAGTTCCTGTGACCCTCCCTTGACACCCCCTGATGTCTTTCTATTTGGGGTTTCAGGCCCTCTTCTGCAGTCTTCATCCCTCCCCCTCTCTGACAGTCCTCTCCCTCACTCCCCTCTATCCCAGGCACTGTGTACTTGATCTGTGTGCTGCCCGGGACCCTGAGGAGCAAGAGGAGCTGCGCTGCAGGGTCCTAGGCGGGTACGCCATCATCTGCCAGGAGGTGGGCGCTGCCGTGGCTGGCTGGCGGGACCACACTGGCTGCGGTAAGGCCACCTTCCCCACAACTGGCCCTGTTCCCCTCTGCCATTCTCCCCTCTGCTTAACTCTGTTCCCACCCCTGACCTGGTCTCGGGCTTCCTGTCTTGAGTCCTCCGTCCTTCAACTCTCACCACCTTCAACTCAGCACATCCTTCCAAGCCGGCCCCTCCTCTGTCCCACCTGGGAGCCTCCCCCCACCCCGGTCTCCCCATTCCCCTCCCTCTTGCCAATAACCGTCTTTGCTTATCCAGTTCCTTCACACCCTCTAATGTCCCAGACAAAAAGACCCCCAGATGAAGCTGGGCCATCCATTCTGGCTTCCCTGCCTATGAGCAGCTCTGCGTTCTGTTGGGCGACCTTGTGCCCCTTCTTACAGCTTTCAGCCCCCTATTCCCTATACCTGTTTGGCCAGCTGCAGCCCCAGCCTGCTTTTGACTGTGACTCTGTCCCTGCAGCCTTGGTATGTCCAGCCAATACTGTGTATCAGAGCTGTATGACGCCCTGTCCAGCATCCTGTGCCCACCTGGTGGCCCCCAGGGACTGTGAGGGCCCGTGCATGGAAGGCTGTGCCAGTATCCCAGGCTACATTTACAGCGGTGCCCAGAGCCTCCCCCTGGCCCACTGTGGCTGCAGCAGCAACGGCATCTACTACCAGGTCTGGCTGGGAGTGGGAGGCCCAGGGAGCAGAGGGGCAAAGAGAGCCAGACAAGCATGGAACCAGAACTTCTCCTCTCTGCCCTTCTCCCTTTCCCAGCTGGGTGACAGTTTTGTGAATGAAGATTGCTCTCAACGCTGCACCTGCACCAGCTTGGGGATCCTGCTGTGCGAGCCCCACCGCTGCAGCACCGGCGAAACCTGTACTCTGGGGAACCTCACCCGGGGCTGCTTCCGAGGTGGACCTGGATCCCTGTTTGGCTCCAAGTTGCCTGCACACCTTGGGGTGTCCCTGGACTGATGATTGTCCCTTCTGTCCCCTTCCTGGGACTCTCCCACATTCATGTCAGGAAGTTTTCCCTCCCTTTTTAGGGAGGGGCAAAGGAAAAGGACCCAGGCACTAAGCTCAGCACTGTGCCAGATCCTTTCTAGCAACAGCTCCCCATGATCTCCTTTAGTACTTAGTTCAGCACTTGGTGGTAAGCATAGCACCCCTATTTTATAGGTAATAAAAACGGAGTTCAGAGAAGTTATGCAATTTCCCCAAAGCCCAGGACTAGGAGGGTAGAGCCAGGATTTGGAGCCACACCAGCTGACCCCTGGCCAGTCTCAGATAGCTGCCGTTTGCCCCCCTCAGTTACCAGCGCCCAGCCACGCCTCTCCCAGGCTGTGGGTGTCCTCCCAGGGCCCCCTCTCACAATCCCTTCATCCTTGCAGAAAGCCCCTGTCTACAGAACCCCTGTAAGAATGATGGCCGGTGTCAGGAGCAAGGAGACAGCTTCAACTGCAAGTGCGAACTTGGTTATGGGGGACACCTCTGCACAGAGCCATGGGATGTCCTGCCCGTCAGAAAGCCAGGTGACAGCTGCATCCCAGGCCGGTCCCCTACCAATAACCACCTCAGAATTATTCTATATGTATAATAACACATGTAATATCTATTATAGATATTATAATGTTAAATGTTGTAGGTATTATATATTACATATTATAGTATCTAGAGGCTGGCCAGTTGGCTCAGTTGGTTAGAACATGGTGTTATAACACCAAGGTCAAGGGTTCAGATCCCCATACTGGCCAGCTACGAAAAAAAGAAAAAATTACCTGTATTATAGTATCTTTTAATAGATATAATAGAGAATATATTAGTAGTGTGGTATATGTTGTAATATATATTCAAATGTATTATATGTATTGATATAATACATATTGCATATAATAGGGATCATGTTATAATATGATCCCTAGAGATTAGCAGGACAAGGATCCTCACTCAGTCCCCATGCCCATCCCCCTGCCACATACTCTGGAGTGTTCTTTTGACTCCTAGCCTGCCCACTTCTGTGACCTCTGTGCCTCACTCCTGCTGTTGTCTCCTCCTCTTGGGTCCCTCTAGGCCTCCCCAATACCATTTATTGTGTTTCCTATCCAAAACTATGATTCTCTTGGGCCTCTGGGCCAGTGGTTCTCCAACTTCATCTGGCCTAAGACTGGGGACGGGGAGTAGCTTGTTAGCGTGTACATTCCGGGACTCAGCCCCAGAGATTCAGATTCAGTAGGTCTGGAGTGGGTCCGGAAATCTGCATTTCACCAAGTACCCAGGTGACTCATGGATGGAAGTGACTCCAGGGCTCCTCTTTCAGAAATGCTGGCTGAGTTGACGCCCTGGACGCTAGGGGCCCAGCTAGATGAACATCCCCCTAAAACAGCTTATGGGAGCTGTGTCTGGAAACGAAAAGGAGGCTGGGGGTAGCACTGAAGGCTTGGAGTCCCTGGGGACGACAGCCTCCTATAGAGAGAACCAGTCACCCAGAGATGTGGGTGGATGAGTCTTTCAGGGTGGCAACACAGGACCAAAAGGGAGTGTCTCCTCCCCTGCCCCTCGGCCCCCCACCCCTTCCTATCCCACGTCCCTGTTTCTCTTCCCTGCACCCAGAAGCATCCAACTTTGGGGCCATCCTGTTGGGAATGCTGTTGCCCATGACAGTCATAGTGCTGGCAGCGACCAGAGGGTGCATTCACAGGATGAAGAGGAGGAGGAAGATGTGAGTTCTGGGAGGGGGTGAGGAGGGGCAGGCAGGGGTGAGTAAGCAGGAGAGTGGGCCAGGCCAGGGACACAGGGAAGGCCACATGCAGACTCGTGTCTGTTTCCCACCACCTCCTAGGGAGAAAGTGCAGAGCCAGAATAGAGCCAGGCTGGAGGACACAGGTGAGGAGCACCCCACAGCCCAGAACCTCGAGGGCCAAGTTGAGTGTGCCCCCGACATGGGCTTCCTGCCTTCTCTTCATGTTGTTCCAGAACATGCCTTCAGAGTTGCTCAGTCCTGAGTTGTCCTCAAATAAGGAGATAAAATAAAATTATTTATTTTTGAGAATTTCCATGTGATTACGGTGGACAAAGTTGAGTCTGTGAGGACAGTCTTGCAGGGAGAAATATGAGACAGCTGTGTAGGGGCCGAGGGCTCGGTTCTATGCAAAATGCCCAGGGGGGAGAGGAATCCTGGTCTGAGGCGATGAAGGGCTTGCCCCATAGAGGAAGCCACATGGGGGGGTCCATTAAGCCCTGGGGAGGCCACCATCATGGGAGAGGCAGAAAGGACGGGGAGGGAAGAGGGATGCAGAGTGGGATGTAGCCTCAGACCCCAGGCTTCTGATACTTTTTCTGAGAAAAAGTCTTCACCCCAGGAATCCTAGTTCTTAGAGGAAGAACATGGCTTTGAGCTCCCCACCAAGGGAAGTGGAAGGTGATTCAGAGAAGTCTGAGTTTCCAATGATGAGATTAATCGCTGGGTAGATATTCCAAGGGTGAATGGGCCTTTGACCCTCTTAGAGGCCTCCACCCTCCGCAATCGCCCATTTCTCAAAAGTGCCAAGGGGTTACTCTGCGCACTGAGGGTGAGGTCTGGGGCAGGCTTGCTGACTTCTGGCCTCCCCCCAAGCCCCAGCGACCCACTCACCCCAGCCTGAGGCAAAGGTGCAAATATCTCGCCCCCTCCCCACCGGCTGCTGCCTCCCATCAGACATGTCCTTGCTTCTGGGAGGAGCTGGGACATCCTGCTTGGGCTGTGAGGAGGAAAGGAAAGCTGCCAACTGGGCAGGGGGTGGGTCAGGATGCAGGACCCCAAGGGGAAGGCAACTTGGGTTTAGGGATGTCAAAGCAGGCAGGACACTGGGTTTGAGAAAGGTATTACTACTGTGTGCTTACACTCTGAGATGAGCAGCCCTGAAGCCACCTTTGTGAAAGGTGGTGAGGAAAGGGTCCTGGGCAGGGAGGGATGCCCCTGGCCAGGCCACCTGCCCAGCATGGCAGGAAGGCCCTGGGCAGCCCCTGGAACTGGGCTGGGCTGCCAGGGCTCCTGCTACCCACCTGCTTTGACCTGAGCTCCCTATACTTGGTCTTTACTCTTTGCCTGTCCTGTCTCAGTCCTGCTCCCTTAACCTTTGCTTCTCCCCTCACCAGCTCTCCAAGGCAACTGACCTAGCCTGGATGTCTGGTTGGTAGAAGGAGGTGGGCTTGGGCTGGCATCCTGTGGAGGGACCCCCTCCTTCCTTGGCAGGACGGAGTCCCTCCCACCTCCTCTTGGGGGTACAAAACATGGGCGATAAGTCACCAAGGGAGAGAGGGGACAGAGAACTCAAGAGTATTAGAGACTCCAGAAGAGGGCTGCAGAGCTAGGAAATTGGGGACAGGATCGCTGCCCGAGGCTCCCTGGGCTGAGGGGCCGAGGCTGTGATTTGGGGTCCTGGCACTACAGCAGGGGGTGAGGGCAGAAATGGAAAAGGCTGCTTCAGCTAAACTAGTCTGGACCTTGTTAAGGCCTGCCCCATAGGTGTCCCAGAGGGAGGGCAGACACCTGGAGGAAAGAAAGAACCAGAAGGAAAATGGGGCAGTTGGAGTGGGGGACTGACCACATCCTCGTCTTCCAGTTTGGTAAGGAGGGAGTGAGTGGCGGGGAAGACATTCAGGTGGCTCTCCCTCCCCTTCCCAAGAGGCTGGGAGAACCTGCCTGGGCAGCATCTTGAATGGAGGAATTGTCCTCCAGCCCAGCCCAGCCAGCCGTCTGTGTGTGCATGTGGGGGGTCCCCCTCTGCCACTCCCCACTCCCTCACCCCACAGCCAAGGCCGACACTCTCCCCCATTGCCTCTAAACCAACCCCAACTGTCAACATCTGGCCCACACCTGTCTCTAGACCCCCTGCCCCAGCCTGTGCTCCCTCCTCCCTTTCAGGGCAGGATTGTGAGCTCAAGGCCTCCCCTCCCTCACACCCTCACAGCCCCCTACCGTGGCTAAGGAAGGGGGGGGAGGGCAGCCCCACCCAGGAGGTGCCCCAGGCTCTTGGCAAGGCCAGCTGGAGCCGTTAGATGCAGCTGCCAATGACTCATCTCCCACGGCCCCCACCCCACCACCTCACACACACCCTAGGGCTGTGAACCAAGCACCCAGCCCCCCCAGAGCCCTGCTGCCTCCAGACCTCTGACCCCCATCAGTCGGCCATAAAGCATTCCACACCCAGGCCCCACTCTCCTCAGAAATCTAGTCATGCCCAGGTCCCCATCACCCCCAGAGCTGGGATACATCCCACTTTCTTTTATTTATACAAAAAAAGTTTTTTAAAATATAATTTAAGAACCCCTCCAAGCACCGGTGTCTGTCTCTGGTTTCCACCACTACCTCACTGCCCCTTTCCCTGCCTCATCCCCCCCCCCCCCCCCCCC